CACAGAAGTAATACTTTTTTTCTTTAGTTGCATGTATTTAAATTATGTGATTATAATGACAAGTATAGCCATTATTAAATAGTTTGAGAACACACATACTGATTCATAGCATTGGGTTCATAAGTATGGGACTTAACTAGTAAGAGCAGAAATGCACTATAACTTGCCATAGTCTTCAGTTGTCCTTCCTATTAGCAAATCATTTAAGATGGGGTTATAGTCAGGTGAGTCAATAAAGTAGAGAATGTCTAGTGTTGATTTAATTCTTATGTCTTTGATTACTAAAGAAGTCAAACATTTTAAATATATGTATCAGACATATATTTTTCCCAAGGAATTTATTATTTTGTTTATAGATATAAAATTAGAACTTTTATAATCTAACAATTCATAGCAATATTACACATCAAGCTAATGAAATGAATTTAATGAGCTTCAAAAGCAGAAAATTTATTGGAAAGATAACATTCATAATTCAACTGTTATCAACATACTATTTACAAAAGTTAATGTTTTGTACCAAAATATACACTCAAATTTAGTGGTATTACTATGTGGTAAGTATCCTGATTTGTACATAAATTTTGGACTTAATAAAGTTTTTAGGTAATAAGCTTTTGCTTGTTTCAATTAATATGAATGTATATTAGGAAATTGATTAGAAAGAACACTATTCATCAATAGAAACATTTCTTAAAGAGACCTCCAACTCTTTCTATTGCTTGGTTCTTTCCTTTTGTATTAATAAGTTAGTCTTTCTTCATCCTCTAAGATCAGTTTTTGAGATCAAGGCTTCTGTGACAGTTTAACTTATGTGTCAATTTGATTGGGACCCAGGGTGCCCAGATATTTGGTTAAGCATTATTCTGAGTGCCCATAAAGGTGTTTCTAGATGATATTACCATTTGTATTGGTAGACTTGAGTAAAGCCCACTGCCCTTCCCACTGTGGATGGCCCTGATCCAACCTAATGGAGGCCCGAAGAGAACAAAAGGTCTAAGCAAGCTAGAACTCCCTCTGTTTGCCTTTCTTTGAGCTGAGACATTGGTCTTATCCTGCCTTCAGACTTGAACTCAGACTGGAGCTTACACTATCAACTCCCATGGTTCGCAGGCCTTTAGATTTATACTGGAACTATCAGCTTTCCTGAGTCTCCAGCTTGCTGACTGCAGAGAATGAGACTTATCAGCTTCCATAACTGCATAAGTCAATTCCTTATGATGAATCATTCTCTCCCCTGCCCCGCCTCTATATATATGTGTGTCTGTGTTGTGTGCTGTGCAATATATATTATATATATATATATATTATATATATATATATATATAGAGAGAGAGAGAGAGAGAGAGAGAGAGAGCTATCTGGGAAGTATCCAGCCATGTAATATGTTATTGTTATATTAACAATGGCTGTACTCTCCGGACAGTCCTCTTGTATATGTATTATATATACACACAGGCATACCTCATTTTATAGTGCTTCACTCTACTGCACTTCACAGATAATGAGTTTTTCATAAATTGAAAATCTGTGGTAACCTTATGTCAAGCAAGTCTATCGGCCCCATTTTTTTTCCAATAGTGTGTGTTCACTTTGTGTCTCTGTGTCTCATTTTTTTTTTTAATTCTCACAATATTTCAAACTTTTTTATTGTGATAAATGTATGGTGAGTCATGATCATTGATCTTTGATGTTACTGTTGTAATAGTTTGGGGGCACCACAAACTACACCCATATAAGAGGAAGAACTTGGCTGAACACAGTGGCTCATGCCTGTAATCCTAGCACTCTGGGAGGCTGAGGTAGGAGGATCGCTTGAGCTCAGGAGTTTGAGACCAGCCTGAGCAAGAGCAATACCTCATCTCTATTAAAAAAAAAAAATAGAAAAATTAGCTGGGCATGCTGGCATGTGTCTGGAGTCCCAGCTACCTGGGAGGCTGAGGTAGAGGATCACTTGAGCCCAGGAGTTTGAGGTTGCTGTGAGTTAGGCTGACGCCATGGACACTCTAGCACAGGCAAGAGAGTGAGACTCTGTCTCAAAAACAAAAGATGAAGAATTTAAGTGATAAATGTCATGTGTGTTCTGACTGCTCCATGGACCAGTCTCCCATCTCTCTTCCTTTCCTCAGTTCTCCCTCTTCCCTGATACAAAAGAATATTGAAATTAGGCCAATTAATAACCCCACAATGGCCTCTAAGTGTTCAAGTGAAAGGAAGAGTCATGCATCTCTCACTTTAAATCAAAAGCTAGAAATAATTAAGCTTAGTGAGGAAGGTGTGTTGAAAGCTGAAACACTGAAAGCTAGACCTCTTGCACCAGACAATTAGCAAAGTTGTGAATACAAAGAAAAAGTCCTTGAAGGAAATTAATAGTGCTACTCCGATGAACACGTAAATGATAAGAATGTGAAACAGCCTTGTTTCTGATATGAAGAAAGTTTTAGTGGTCTGGATGGAAGATCAAACCAGCCATAACATTTCCTTAAGACAAAGTGTAATCTAGATCAAGGCCCTAACTCTCTTCAATTGTGTGAAGGCTAAGAAAGATGAAGAAACTGCAGAAGAAAAATTTGAAACTAGCAGAGGGTTCATGAGGTTTCAAGAAAGAAACCATTTCTATAACATAAAAGTACAAGGTGAAACAGCAAATGCTAATGTAGAAGCAACAGTAAGTTATCCAGAAGATCTACCTGAGATAATTTATAAAGGTGGCTACATTAAACAATGAATTTTAAATGTTGACAAAACAGCCTTCTATTTGAAAAAGATGCCATCTAGGACTTTCATAGCTGGAGAGGAGAAGTCAATGCCTGGCTTCAAAGATTCAAGGGACAGGCCCTCTTGTTTGGGGCTAATACAATTTTAAGTTGCTTTAAGTGACTTTCAGTAGAAGCCAATGCTCATTTACTATTTTGAAAATCCTAGGACCCTTAAGAATTATGCTAAAAAAAAAAATCATCAAACCTAAAAAAAAAAAAAAAAAAAGAATTATGCTAAATCTAATTTGCCCACATCCTATAAATTAAACAACAAAGCCTGAATGGCAGAACATCTGTTTATACCATGGTTTACTGAATATTTAAAGCTCACTTTGAGACCTACTGCTTAGAAAATAAGATTCCTTTTAAAATATTAATACTCATTGTCAATGTACCTGGTCATCCAACAGCTCTGATGGAGACATACAAGGAGATTAATGTTGTTTTCATACCTGCTCACACAACATCCACTCTGCAGCCCATGGATCAAGGAGTAATTTTGACTTTCAAGTCTCATTATTTAAGAAATACATTTAATAAGGCTATAGCTGCCATACATAGTGATTCCCCTGATGGATATGGGCAAAGCAAATTAAAAACCTTTTGGAAAGGATTTTCCATTTTAGATGCCATTAAGAACATTTGTGATTCATGGAAGAAGGTCAAAATATGAACATTAACAGCAGTTGGAAAAAGTTGATTCCAACCCTCATGGATGACTTTGAGGGGCTCAAGGCTTCAGTGGAGGAGGTAACTACAGATGTGGTGGAAATAGCAAGAGAGCTAGAATTAGAAGTGGAGCCTGAAGATGTGAATAAATTGCTGCAATCTCATGATAAAACTTGAATGGAACAGGAGTTGCTTCTTATGGATGAGCAAAGAAATGGTTTTTTGAGATGCAATCTACTCCTGGTGAAGATGCTGTGAACATTGTTGAAATGACAACAAAGGATTTGGAATATTACCTCAACTTAGTTGATAAAGCATTGGCAGTGTTTGAGAGGATTGACTTCAGTTTTGAAAGGAGTTCTACTGTGGGCAGAATGCAACCAAACAGGATCACATGCTACACAGAAATATTTCATGAAGGAAAGAGTCAATCAGTGTGACAAACTTTATTGTTTTTCATTTTAAGAAATCGCCACAGCCGCCCCCAACCCTCAGCAACCACCACCTTGATGAGTCAGCTCAGCAGCCATTAATATCAAGGTGAGATCTTCCGCCAGCAAAAAAATTTATAACTTGCTCAAGGCTCAGATGACCATTAGCATTGTTCATCAATAAAGTACTTTTAAATTAAGTCATATATATTGCTTTCTTAGACAAAATGCTATTGCACACTTAATAGACTATAGTATAGAGTAAACATAACTTTTATATGCACTGAGAAACCAAAAAATTTGTGTGCCACTTTATTGTGATATTGACTTTATTGTGGTGGTCTGAAACCAAAACTGCAATATCTCCTAGTTGTGCCCGTATGTATGTGTGAGTGTGTATTTGTGCATTACATCCTATTTGTTCAGTTTTTCTGAAGAACTCAGAGTAATACAGCTTGTTTCATCTTGTTGGAGCTAAGTCAAAATTAAAGGTGGAGAAGAGGTTTGGAGATCTTGAGTCAAGAATCCATGCCCATCACTATTCTGAAAGGCAGCATCTATTCCTCCTCAAAGAGGGAGGCAATTGGTAGATGTGGAACTCTGCCAACTTAGGTTGCTTTATCTGAGCTCCAACTGACTTTTCTTAATGCAAGGTAACAGAATTGAGCTACCAATTCAACATAAATTTCTCTAGAGTAAAAACGAGGGATGATGAGCTATAGTGTCACGCTATTTATGATGATCAGATTTGATAGGTGCAGGTCAGCCTGAATACATTTAGATTTCACCTCTCATAGATTATTTTTGCTCAGTGCTTTATTGAAAACTGAGACATTAACATCCCTTGTGTTAAAATAGGCCCAACAAAGTCCACGCTCAGAGAGAAAATAAAAGGTCTGCAGTTTCAAGATGGGCTGCAAATCTTTAGATAGAGTAGAAAAGATGGTTAATAACAGACCTCATTGAGAAATGCAATTTTTGTTGCTAGAGAGCATTGGATGACAGGCTGACTTTTTTTTTTTCTTCTTTTTTTGTATTTATCACAGGCAATTGAACCTGGTGAAGGAAAGGAAATTAAGTTAAAGGGGAAAAATTGGTTCCAAGTAAAGCTCAGGAAGCAATTTCTACCCATGAAGTAATTAATGAGTGAAATAGGTTTTTACATTAGCTCTTGAGGCAAAGTCATTTTAATGAGAAGCCCTCTTGGGAAAAGTATTCAAAATAATCTGCCCCAGTGGTCAAGCAGTAGCTGATTTTGAGGTAATAGAACTATGGCTTTTTATAGGCAAGGGGTCTTCTTGTTCAATGAGGTATTAAACAAGGTCATTTTTTCCATTTGAATGATTGCTACCATCCCAGAAGAAAATAGTGGAAGGCTATCAGGGGGTTTTAGAATTGCTCTGCAGAGATCCTTTATGTTTTTGTTTTACTTACAAAGTACTGCATGTGTGGTATATTAAAAAATTATTAAACACGCAAAAGGCAAAGGATTAGAGGAACAAACATGCCCATGCTTGGATGTATCTACACTGTTCTTTCTCTGAATCCAGTTCTGTGAATTTCTTGAAACTGGAAGTGTTCTATAGTTAGCGAAGTCACATAGGCCTAGTTTTGCCAAGCCGTGCCTTTCCCTTCTCCAAATGCACTTCCTAGAGAGCCCACTCTGAATACTTCTGGAAAGCCGGTCAACTGGCTGAGAAATCTCTTGACCCAGGCTAAAGACCAATGTTTAAGTAACAGCATCTAAAAGAACGAGGCTTTTCTTTTCAATGTCCTCTGTGGAAACTTAATGATATGTGACTTTGTTATCACTGCATTGCAATAAAAATCAAATCAGTGTCCAGTGTTGCCTAGCAGGAAGAAGATTTCAAGCAATAATCCTTTGCCAAAAAAATTGCTTTACTCTCTCTGTCTTCTTCAGTTTGTGTTAATTACATCTGTCTCGATTGTCTGGTTGGCATTTACTTGTAATCCAGAATAAATCTTTTTATGTCCAGTATATTTTGAGGTTTTCTGCAAATTATCTGTCAGCCATCATTTCTTCATATGGTTAGTTCAGAATTCTGTGAAAGCATTATGCTGTAGGTGAGTTAGTTAGCTTCCTGCTCTTATTTTTCTTATTTTCTGTTTCATCCAATCTCCAGGACAATGTTTCTCAAAGTGGGATATTTAGACCTTTGGGGGACCAAAGACATATTCTATGGGTTAGGAAAAATCTCTATAAAAATTAAGTATGTTCACTTTGATAATTATCTTTTAAAATATTAAATATAAGCATAGTCTTGATTGTTTATGTAATAAATTTATAATCACATATAGATCCACAATTTATGTATCCATGTCTTATTTTGTGTTTATGATCAACCTAAAGGGGTGGGGCTCTAGCTTGGCTTTGACTGGGTTAGTAAGCAATTAGCTGATTTTAGGGAGGCATATCTGGTGTCAAAATGCCAATAATCAGTCTATATCCATCTTTGTCTTCATGTTGACTTTTAAAGCAATAATAAGCATCATATTCTTTTGTAAGAATAATTCATAATTAAAAGACATTTTTAGAGAAGAAGACTAGCTTTTTAATAGATGAGACTGATTTGCCATCATGAAAAATGACATTAGGAAACGATGATATGATGTGATTTGTGCTGTAATGGATAAAGGAGGGACATCTTACCAAACTGGAGAGGAAGGTGATGGCTAGAAAAGACCACTGAAGTATAGGCATGAAGGCCAGTAGGACTTAGCACTCCGTGTTGTAGCACAGGGTTGGGGTGAAGGCTGTGGAAAGGAAACACCTATGCAACGATATAGAAGGAGAAGAGCAAGCTGTGTGCCTAATAGTTTATGTATTTTACAAAGAAGAACTTAAATAATTTTATTTGGTACATTATCCAACAATTATGTGATAAAGGTGAAGAGTTTATTGTTTTTATCCCTTCATATGGGGAAACTGCTACTCAAAGAAGTTAAGTGACTTAGCTTGGGTCACACAAGTATGAAGTGACAGTGAGATTGCTATTTTACTGAATATCTTTTACTAAGCCACATTTTCTACTGGAGTACTTAAGATGGCTTGAAGAGCACTCTATGTTTCCCTAGTTTATCTCTGTCCTAATTACCATCCAACCATGTAATGGACACTATTAGGTAAGCAATTATACAACCCAGATGCTTCGTGAATTAAAAACCTGTTGAAAAGTTAATGATGAGTGAAATCCAAAAGACCAATATATATCTAGTGTCTGTTCTGTTCCAGCAAACTTTAGGAGGACTGGGTTGGCCAACACAGATGCAATGAGCCTGAATTTTCAGAATAAATTTATACCAGCTCCCATTTTACCCATTCCAATCTATGTGGTGATTTGATTACTCTTTGTGTCTGTGCTTGGTCTTTGTTCTTTCCTCTAATGCCTCTGATTTAGAAGATCTATTATCTACTCACTTTGGGTCTTGAACTTGGAGTCTCTCTTCAATTCTAGCATTGGTCCTTTGGCCTCTTGCACAATGACCATTGCTCTGACCCTCGGGAACTAAATGACTAAGTATAATTTCTTCTGGGGGAGAGTCATCAAAGATGTTATTCATAGAATCCAATAAAGATTTTTTTTTTGAGACAGAGTCTCGCTTTGTTGCCCAGGCTAGAGTGAGTGCCGTGGCATCAGCCTAGCTCACAGCAACCTCAAACTCCTGGGCTCAGGCGATCCTCCTGCCTCAGCCTCCCAAGTAGCTGGGACTATAGGCATGCGCCGCCATGCCTGGCTAATTTTTTCTATATATATTAGTTGGCCAATTAATTTCTTTCTTTTTTATAGTAGAGACAGGGTCTCGCTCTTGCTCAGGCTGGTTTTGAACTCCTGACCTCGAGCAATCTGCCCACCTAGGCCTCCCAAAGTGCTAGGATTACAGGTGTGAGCCACCGTGCCTGGCCTCCAATAAAAATTAATAAGTAGAGTAACCTACAGCATACATCAATGACTGAATTATCTTTTTGGATTATAAAACTATCTGCTTGGTTAGTTGTTTTTGAGTCTTGCCTGAAGGACTGCTCTACCCATTCCTGTCATGCTTAATATCACCTATTTTAGTAGACTTCTCACAGATCAGCCTGGTTCTCATCCTTTATCCTACTTGAGGCCATATTCAGTATTTTGTAAACCATCCCCTCGGGGAAAAAAAAGTCAACAAAACAAACAAAAGTTTCACTTCCACAAAACGTTAGTGAATGTTACAGATATTCTGTACAAGGTAAGGAGAGAAATGGAAGAAGATTCTAATGTTAAGTAATACAAAAAACTTAAAATTTCTGATTGAACTTATTTATTCTTCTCCCAAAGTTCCTCTCCAGCTTTTAGATATTTATTCAGTTTCTCGTCTTTCTCTTTTCCCTTCTTCTCACAGCCTTTCAAATCTCTACTATTGTCCAGAAACTTCTCAGAAAGCACTTCCATGGATATGCAATCATGATCTTGGGGACTTAGTGTTTCTGGGGGACTTCTTTCCAAACTAAATTATTAACCTACAAAACAAATCTTTCGGGGAGATATAAAGTCATAGGAATAGCAGCAGTGGTGGAATTGATTCTGGCCTTCAAAGAAACAGAAAAGTGCTCCACCTTCTTATCTCACAGCTGAAAGCAAAACCAAATTTGCCCTTTCAGGTTCTCTGCCTGGCTTTTGATAATATGCAAGCTTTCTTCCTGATGTTTTAATTAACTCAGACTAGGATTTTATATAAGAGCATTCAGATTTAATAATGACCCATCATCTACTGCCCAGCCTAGAGATAGAACACAGATAGAAATAAAGTCCACATATTAGGAGCTCAAAATTTTGCTGGAGAGAATCCTTCGCACATTCAGAGTACTTTTACACATATTAGGGAATTCGGTCCTCAAAATAACTCAGTGAGCTAAGTAGGGTAGATAGTATTATATCTATTTTACACATTAAGAAACTCAAGGTTTATTACTAAGTTCACAAAATTTGTATGTGGTAAAGTGGGAAAACTCAAACCCATGATGTCTCAGGGTGTGATAGTCTCTGATAGTGATTAGTGCTCATCACTAAATATCGCCAGATTGCACTTTCTCACCTCATTTGAAGATAAGCTGTGTGACTTGCTTTGGCCAATGCAACATGGGTAAACATGATGTATCACATCTGGGCAGAAACTTCTGAGAGCCATCATGGATTCTCCTTCCTTTCCATCTGCCATGGGGATGCAGGAAGCATGTGTCAAAATGGAGCCCTGGTTAGTCTCACCCCTGAGTGTCTACAGTGAGAAGAGCATCACTGTAAACTAGCACTGGACATGTAATTTAGAATTTTTATGACATTTTGTGAGGTTAAAATACTGTGATGTGGGAGCCGCTAGTTGCCACAGCGTAACCAGTCCTATCCTGAGTTATATGCCTTTGACTTCCACTCTTTCTTCTTCTCACGTAGATTCTTCATACAGTGTGTTCAAATAGTCAGAGAGGCCGGGCGTGGTGGCTCACGCCTGTAATCCTAGCACTCTGGGAGGCTGAGGCGGGTGGATTGCTCGAGGTCAGGAGTTCAAAACCAGCCTGAGCAAGAGCGAGACCCCGTCTCTACTATAAATAGAAAGAAATTAATTGGCCAACTAATATATATATATAAAATTATCCGGGCATGGTGGTGCATGCCTGTAGTCCCAGCTACTCGGGAGGCTGAGGCAGAAGGATTGCTTGAGCCCAGGAGTTTGAGGTTGCTGTGAGCTAGGCTGACGCCACGGCACTCATTATAACCTGGGCAACAAGTGAGACTCTTTCTCAAAAAAAAAAAAAAAAAAAAAAAGAAACAAATAGTCAGAGAGCAATTGGATGATGGACCTGGGCCTAGTGTCTCCATGTTGTTGCACTTGCTATTACTAGTAGCTCTAGTTAATACAGAGAATTGTAGTGCTCTTTATTTACAGTAATTAGTTCTTCCCTAACACAAAAGAGTACAAACTTCTGTTCACCACCTGCCAATGGGAAATACAACATAATGCAAGGTAACTGAAGGTCACCTATGATTCACCACTGCAGAGAGTTATATCCAAAATTGGTGCCAAAGCATTTTCAGGTCACTTCCTGAGTGGTGAGGGCAGTAAGGAACAAGAGAAGAGTAAGAAAAGAAATGTGGTGTTAATGCTGAAAAATGAAAGCAGAGGAAAAGATTAATAGTGGTGATTAAAGAAATAGAAAGACATTTTCTCTAGAAATCCAAGCTGTGCTGGGAATGGAACAGCAAAAGTTGAGAGATTAATAAGACAGCCACAAGTAGGAGATGATAGGGCAAGTGTGGGTGTGACTAAGGATGACTCCAGAAACTTCAGTATTCTTCCTTCTTTGCCCCTTCTCCTGACTTGATAAAAATAGGGACAGTTACCAAGCCAATGAAATCAGGAGTTTGTGAAATGTCTAAGCTGGCTATATTTGCACACAATTCAGGGCTGGTTATAAAGCTGTTTTTCCTGTGAGTTCCATTAAGAATAGTGAGCTTTCCATGATGAGGTGGGTGGTAGCATTTCTAAATAAAGTAAGAAGCCTCAAAAATGTGATTTGAAGCTTCATGATAGAGTTTTGCCTTCACCGTATTTTCCAATGCTAACTCGCAGCATAGACAAATTGAATGGCCACCTAAATATTGTAATTTGAGGGAGTAACTGAAGACTTATCTGCCTTCTCAAATACAAAGTGTTTTACCCTTCTTTATCCATTATTTCTATTTCTTACAAATGAGGTTTTTTAAAAAAATAAAACCAAAAACAATACTTCTATACTGAAAATTGCAACTCTCATGTTTTCCTCTGTTCACATGCTTGCGGATTAGATATTTCTACCCACAGGTAGAGTTGAATACAAAGCAAGACTATTTCTAGATAATTGCATCTTAAGCCTTTATATGCATATGGATCACTAGAGGATATTGCTAAAATGCAGATTCTTATACTATAGGTCTGGAATTGGGCTTGAGATTCTGTATTTCTCACAATTTCCTACATGGTACTGATACTGTTGATCCAAGGCCAACCCATTAAGTACCAAGGACATCAGAGTAGTTAAGTCACTTGCACAGGAACCACACTTAGTAAGTGGTAAAACTATGATTAGAGGGCAAGGCTGTCTGACTCCACAGGCTGTGTTCTTGGTCAATAATGTAATGATGCCCTATAGAGATAGGTACAGACTGGCCATTCTCTGAGAAGAAAGATAACAGCATGAAGACAGTGCATCACTAAGCTAGGGGGGAAAACTGACATATTAGTGATCACTCACTTTGGTAAATAGATGTCTTAAGCTCAGAAACCTTGAAATCAGCCAATTTCAGCCTTATAGAATGGTATCTGTTTTCATGGCTCCAGTTCATAAAGTTCCACCATTGCCCCACTTGAAGAGAGATAATAAAAGAAAGATTTCATAACACATGCAATCATCATTTGGAGTCAACACAGCACATTCTCCATGATACACAGCTGCACTGCAGGCGATCAAAGCCCAGGGAAGGTATTTAACTAGGCCCTGAACCTGGAAATTGAGAGGCTGAGCATTAGGCGCCACTCTGGGAGTCTCCTACAGCAAAGGGCCTCTATTGTGTATTAACACAATGAGGCTTGTGTGAGAGCCCCCTTCAAAAGGCTCCATGACTCATTTTGTGTTTGATCGCTGCTACTCTACAGCAGTGGATACTTTGGGTGGAAAAAAGAGCAAGCATTAAAACTCTGTATGACAAAGACAGGAGAAAACCTTAGCAAATCTCTAAGCCTCCCAAGGAAAATAGCTCCCCAGGTTGGAAAACCTCCTAATATGGACACTGAAAGAAAGACCCTAAAAAGTGATAGAGACCGCTCAAGGGGAAGACCTTGAGATATCAAAGATTACTTTGATTACTGCTTGATTTAATCAATTACTGACTTAATCAATTGATTACTGTTTATTACTGTAAATTGCTACTTAGCAATTTACCTATAACAAAGTCTTACCTTTTCTGTCATTGGTTAACTTTAAAGAGGTTTATCAGCTTAGAAGCTTCCTTATGCTGTCCATCTGTGTCTGTCTACACCTGTGTCATCCAGAATTCCATCACTCCTTTGCCTACCACAACCCACACTGGTTTCATTCCTCTTCCATGCTCTTGTTCCTACTCTTCCATCAAAAGTAAAAATCTTATTTCATTTTCTTCACGGCCCAGCAGAAAGCCTTGGGGCTGTTCCCAATTCCATGTCTCTCCATCTCCACTGCCTCCTCCTTGGTCCAAGCTGCCCAAACCTCTCCAATGGACTGCTGCGAGGGCCTTCTAATTCTTTTCTCTGCTTTAACCCTTGCCTTCCATGCCGTAGCTCCTGTATATAATAAGCACAAGGATAGGTTTAAAACATGAATTAGATCATGCTACTTTCCTGCTAAAAACCCTCCCGTGGTCTTCATCGTACTTCTCTCAATACATTTTGTAACATCCCAGCCCTGGCTGCACATGAGAATCTCCTGGAGAGGTTTTACAACATAGCAACGCTGGGCCTCAAGCCAGGCCAATTATGCAGGATGCACCACCCTTGCCTGGTGATTCTCAGCACCGCCAAGTGTGAGCCTACATTCCACGGGGTCAGGCCTGTGCCACCTCTCAGTTTTATAGCACTTAGTTCTGATCTTTGCTGTCTCCATGTCATCATTCGACCCAAACATCACCTCCTCAGAAGGCTATCTCTGACCACCCTTCCCAGGACCTCTCCTGAAGCGCTTTTCCTCTACTCGCTTACTCATGCTGTGACCTGCACTGTCCTGCCAGAAAGCAAGCTCCAATGACACAGGCACCTTGTGTTTTTTCCAACATACCTGGCCCGGTGTAGGCGACTCACTCAATAAACATTTGTGAATAGTATTGAATGAATTCCCCAGGCAGAACTAATCACTTCTTCTTCTGTTTCCTCAAAGCACTTGGAGATTGCTCGATTAAAATACATCTCCCATATTTTATTCCATTGCATCTGTGCCTGCTTCTGCGCTAGACTGTGAGCAACTTGAAGGTGGGAAGTACATCTTATTCATCTCTCTATTTCTATTCCCTAGCACTGTGCTAAATATATGACAGGTGCTTAATAAAACTAAAATTCTACCTTTCATTATGAAAATCAAATTAGTGAATAGTAACAAACCAAGGATGGGGCAGATTGCCCTCACTTGTCAGTAATCTCAGCTTAATTTTAAAAATTGGGGCCGGCATTTTTTAGGAGGTAAATTTTAAGAGGGATATTATTTAGAATTGCTGGCACATAGTGATAACAAAAAGTAGACAAACTCTTAGTTAGGTTTATTATTGATTTTAAATTGTCTACAGACAATGTAGCCCCTTAGTGCCTGCACTGAACGCTGATCACTGTCACTGTCTTGCCTTAGGTACACCACTGTTTGTGAGAAGTGCAAAAATTCTGCTGCATGACTATCGTCCTCTCCTATCAAAGCCTCAGACAATTAAGAGCTGAGGCTCAAGGTAGAGGAGTCCTCTTGGCTAAGCCTTAGCAAACAATTACATGCTCATCTGAACCTGAGACGCTGGTAAACCACAAATGAAGCTAATTATCTATTTCCTACAAGCCTGCAGACATTGGTCTTATGAAGAGAAGAAGCCCAACTGTGCAAGAGTAAAAGACTATTTTTTGCCATATTACATTTAAAGAAACATCCCAGAGTCATTTTCTGTGGGTGTGATTGCATTTATTTTATTGGGTTTTTTTTATTAGGAAAGTAATACAATGCTTATTGTCACAAGGCAAACAATATGAAGGTATATTCCATAACTCTGCAGTCTAACTCCAATATCCTGAGGCAACCCATATTAATTTGCAATTTGGCATATATCCTCTGTTACTTCTATGCTCTTAGAGCTATTGATAGAGAGATGAATAGAGAGAAAGATAGGTAGAGATAGAGGGGATATAGATACATATGCAGTTCATATTGTTACAAAAATTGGGTCATCTCATTCACTTTTCTTTAAAAGTTGCTTTCTCTCAACAGTATATCTTATTCTTCCCTCTGGGTCATTACATGTAGACATAAATCATTCTTTGAAATTTATATATTCATTCAACTTGTATTTATTATGACTGTCTCCAGGTATCTGCTTTAGGCACTCAGGTGAACAGACAGAATTCTTGCTTTCAGGGAATTTACATTTCAATGCAGAAGACAGAAAATAAAAACAAAAACAAGTAAACTAACAGCATGTCATGTTGAATGCTGTGAAAACAAAAAGTAAGGGAGAGTTGTGGTTTTCCACAAGTGGCCAGAGAAGCCGTGTGAGCTAAGAACTGAAGAATATGACAGAGCCCCGGCCATGCATCTATCTGCATCTGTGCAAGACCTTTCCAGGCAGGGGCGACAGCAAGTACAAATAACACCGCCAAAAATATCCTACTACAAATATTCTTATGTACTAAGGCTTCCTGAATTATTGGTCAAAAGGTAAATATTAATACATATAAAACTTATACCCCAGATCATTTTACAGCAATTTACATTCCTGTCAGCAAGATATAAAGTTAATCCTTTTACCACAAATTGATCAACATTGGATATAATCAATCTTTTTTAACTTTTGCCAAATTGATATATATTTTTTTCATTTCTCTGATTCCTGGTAAAGTTAGAAAATGTTTTTGGCTAATAATAGATTCTTAGTTAGGGACCTTTAAAATATTTGTGTTAACATTATTATTACTAATTTCTGGTTCTCTGGCACAGAGTGAAGCAGAGAACATCACCCATGTGGTGATGGTAAAGTTGGGTTCAAGATAGAGCTTTCCTCATAGTAATGAAAGCCCAGCTTCCTGAGATACACAGTCAGATCGGGGCCAAACAGGAAGACAAGCTACTGAGTTAAGAGATGCTGCTACCTGACTGTCTGGGATGAATTGTTTTGAATATATACAAGGGAACCTACAGGTAGATGGATGCTTTTTACAGAAGTTTAATTAGGAGGAAAAAGAGAACAGGACATGGTATCTTCTGGCTCTCATGGTCTACCCCTTCCAAATAAGGATCTTTGGGGGATTATTTTAAATCCTATCAGCACATGGATGAATTCAGTGACCCACACCATTACTCCTGGCCCATAAAGGATCAAAGAACTATACTTCCTAACATTCATTTTCCAAATCAGTTAAATAAATGTTAAGATCTTAATGTAGTCCACATATTCATGTTTTGTGAAATAGCCTGGAACAATAAATTTAGGTGCTATAAATTAGCCCAGGCTAAGAGAGCCGAATTTGGAAATGGACACACCTATGAGGACTCACAGGAATCTAGCTGCCCTGCTAACCTGGCTTCCATGGCTACTTTGAGAAAACAAAGTCTGGTCGAAAACACATGTGCAATATTGCATATACAACCCCCTGCTTTGTCTATTCACAAAGCACACTTAAATTTTAGAGACTCTGAGAAATTCCAACAAAGAAACTCAGTCAACTTTGGTAAATGATTTTTAAAAATTATTTATGTAGTGAATATTTTTTTCCCCACAGTTTGCTTTAAAAGTAGCTTAGAAAGCACAACAAAATAGGGCTTGGATTCCAGAACATCCTGGGAATTTCACATGTTGTATTGTCATACAGGCCCCAATAAACTGAATGCAAGACCAATTTTGTTTCTTTATTAATAGATATACCACACTGTTTTCTAAATCTGCATGCAAAAACTTGTGATAAATACTATTTAAACTTTTAACTTATTTTGGTCCTAGGTTAACAATGTTATTGATCTTAAAATAATACAGGTGCTTTTTAATTAAGAGTGTTTACTATGATCCTATATTGTGCTAAATTAATTATGCATTAATTTAATCTTCATGATAACTTGATGAAATAGGCACTCACATTTTACATTTTACTCACATGAAGTGGGCACACACATTTTACAAATGTTAAAGTTTAGAGTTAGAGAAATCAATTGCATTGCCCATGTTTCTAGAGCTGGCATGTTTGGGATCAAAGGTTTAAATCCAGATAGTCCAACTATAGAGTTTTAACCACTGGAAACATTGTCTTTCTAGGCATGAGGCTTCCGTTGCCAATTTTAACAATTGCTTAGTAAACAGCAATGACTGTAGTTGTCATTGGCATTAGAGTGCTTCAATAACAAAAAGACACTATTTCTTAATAAATGAGCACGAGAAACATGGATATTGGGAATCTAAAAACATTCAGCAAGTAGGTTGGCAGGAATGTCAGGATTTGGTGTCAGGGAAAAAAAATAAGAGGACATAATTTCACAATGAAGGTCTTTTTTTTTTTTTTTTTTAATTTAATGAAATTAGCCTTAGCAAAATGTCTCTAATCACTGTTCTTATTTTTATCTTTTTTTCCAAGAACCAGGTCATGATGGTTCAGAAAAGCAAATTTGGCACAAAATGACAAGTCAGGTACAAAGTGACTGGAACTAGGACAGCAGTGGCACTTGGTCTCAAGAATGAAGAGAATCCCCTTCACTAGAAGTAGAGCCAGAGATCAGAGACTAGCTCTGATGTATGGATAAGGCAGAAAAGGAAGGTGCAGATCCTGAGTGCCATTTTGACCGATAACCCAATCCTCACTACCCCCAAAAAAGAAGTCACCATAGAGTCACTGGCCAGCCCAGAAACACCCAAGGATGGATTAATTACTAGGCCTTACGAACTGCATGCACTTACTATCCTGTGACCGCAGTTTACAATTAACCTTTATGGCCTGACCACAGGACAACGCAGGTCACGGACAGCTGTTTCCCAATCAGGTTTTCAAACATTTAAAAATGTTACCATTGCTCCATAAGGGGCTCCCCTGATGCTTGGTATAGGATCTCTACTCTGTCCGTAGGGTAAACTCTGTTGTCTGTCTCTCTCAATAAACCTTCCTGTAGCTAGTTGGCTCGCTTTTTAATTCTTTCCTGAACGAAGCCAAGAACCCATTTGGAGTGTTCAGGGGGCATCCCTGACTTCATTAGGACACTTCCTGCATCAGTTCAGTGGCAAAACTTATTTGAGATTGACTGAAAAACATTCACATTGTCTCCTTAAGATTCACCCCACCCCAATGGCAACAATAGCACACAGATATGTGCTTACACAATGTGGACGGGAAAAATCCAAGCCCTGAAATATTTGAAAGAAGTTTATTTTGAGCCAAATTTGAGGACCATGACCTGGAGCCACTCTCAAGAAGCCTTGAGCAAGTGGGCTCACTGTGGCTGGGTTACAGTTCAGTTTGATACATTTTCAGAGAGACAAGGGTTACAGGCAAAGTCACAAATCAATACATGAGAGGCATACATTGGTTTGGCCCAAAAAGGTGGGACATCTCGAAGTGGG